ACAGCCAGCCTTGTACTCTTCTAGGTTCAAAAAACTGTCATCCATAAATGGATGCACAGCGTTGCACAAATTGGAACATCTGGGTTGTGCTGTTCTGTTGTAAATAAATCTTAACCAATGATTCCTAATTGCATCTACTTCCGGAAGGCCAAATAAAGTACTTTTGTTTTTGCACTGAAACACAGCGTCTCCCTGACATGGCTGCATCAACACGACTGCTGTTCCTGAAACCACGCCTTTTTTCTTTGTGTGCACATTTGGGTGGCATTATGCTAATATTTCCACATAGTGATGTAGATATGTGGGGGCGTGTTAGAACGAGTCATTTTAGGTAGGCGTGGCTGACTCTTAACTTTTATAAAGAATATCTCTTTGGATTTGAGACTTTAGTCTTTGCAACTTTACAGATCTTCTTTATGCACCAAGAGCTTGTAACACTCCAAAGAGAAAGGAAAACTTGAAATCGCATCATATGACCCCTTTAATGCATGGCAAGCCGTTGATTAATTTGCCAGCATTGACAACTTAAAGCTGTTTATGATGTTAGCAGCGCAATATTTAACCGGAAGTGTAAAAATAATGGTTATTTTCGTCAGTTATGGCTCGTTAGCTCTAGCTTTCTGCCCACTTCAAATCAGATACAGAGATAAAATGTGCGGTAAGACCACATTTATTTGAATGAATTATCGATCGAGAGAGAGATGACAGTTGTGTGTGTGAATTACCTGCGTCTGTGCGTCTTTCTACAAACTATGAAGCTGGTTAGTTACTTCGATTTTACCTCGTTGCTGAGGAAGACAATGAAGCGATCTCGTATCTGTTATTTTATTAAAAAAAGTCGAGGGGCAGCACCGACAATAAGTTTCTGTGTGTGCGCAGTGCGATCTGCAATCTCCGACCTCTCTCCCTCTCACTATGTTTATGTGCGAGTGGTGTATGTGTGTGTGTGCATCAATTAAAGCAGCGCATTAATATAGAACGGTGATTAAACTGGCTTGGGATAAACAAACTGAGAAACGTTTCTTTTTAGTTAAAACAGATGTTGCCAAAGTTTTCGTTTGGGGACATAATTTGAAGTTGGAAAAAGGTAATAAATTGCAATATATCGCAGAATAGATTTAAAACCGCAATAATATTTTATCGTGACACAAGTACCGTGATAATATCGTATCATGGGGCCTCTGGTGATTCCCACCCCTAATGCTCTTCCAGCATGAAGAATGACCGATCCGAGGAAGAGGAAATTTCGTCTGGAAGTTCAGCGACGTGCGACTTAAGCGATAGTTGCCCTGGTCGTCACAGTCTGTGGGAGTAGATTTCATTTGCCCTCTCCTTAATTCTGTTTATCCATGCTTAGCAAGTGCTGTTATTTCTGTGTATTATTTCATAGGCCATTTATTCCCTACGCTTCCCTGATATGCCACTTCACGTGGGCAGATATTGATGAAGAGTTGTTGATTTAGTCGGCTTCGCCTTCTGGGGCCACTGCACACAGCTTTTGCTCTTTAGAGATGAGTTTGCTTCCTAATGCGTATAGAGAGGTGATCAAGCATCATTAGAGCAATTCTAAATGCTTTCAGTCCTTACAGGCTGCTGAATGCTGTAAAAGGATATTAAGTAGTGTGTTACGTTGTATCAGCTTGTATTTTAAATTAATGTTTTTTGGAATGTTTATTTATTTATTTTATCCACACCCGAATTATAGATGTTTTTTTGCACATGAATATAGTTGCATTAGCATTAGTCTTTAAAGGAATAGTTCAACCAAAAATTTTAATTGGCATAATTTACTCACCCTCATGCCATTACAAACCCATAAGACTTTCATATATCTGTGGAACACAAATTAAGATTTTATTGAGTTTTTATTTAAATTAAGTTTTTATTGAAACCTGAGATTTCTGTCCCTCCATTGAATGTTTATTCTAACAAAATGTTCAAGCCTCAAAGAGTTCATAAAGACATTGTAAAAGAAATTCATATGAATTAAGTGGTTTAATCCAAGTTTTCTGAAAAGACACAACCACTTTATACAATAAAAATATTTAATTTAGGCATTTATTCACATATAAACAGGGTTTGAAATTAACTTTTTTACTCACCAGCCAATTTGTCAACAAAATGTTAAAAGTTACCGGCCATTAATAACTTCTACTAACCAAAAAAATAAACAGAAATAAACCTACAGCTTGAGGTGCGACAAAGCAACCATTGCAAATCATTTGTACTTTATGTTAGTACGTCATTAATTGAACGAACACATTCAGTGTAAACAGCATCATTGATTATAATGGGTTCTATAATATTATATTTTGTCGCGTCGCACCGTGCCGCGCCGCTCGTGTCCAGTGTAGACACGGTGTGAGTCTTCAGCCGTTTTTTCGACTTTTCACTATTGCGTCAGTTCAAAGGAAACCAGTGCGCCGTTATTTGTTGCGTTGTGATGGGTGTGTTGAAGTAAGCTAGATATTCGCAGATGCTGCACAATTAGGCTGTATTTAGTATATCATGATGCCTCTCGAGTTCAGTATTTATGCCAAATCTGTGCAGAACTGCCCCAAGAAATCAATGAGTGAACATAATTTACAAAAAGTAGCCCGCCAAATTGGCTAGTGATTTGACAGCATTACCCACCACAGCTGATTTTTACCCTTATTTGGAGGGTGTTTATTTCAAACCCTGCATATAAACATTGATCAATGCACATACAGTACATAGAGCACATCAAATGTGGTAAAGATGTGGTTGTTTGATGGGCAAGAGCCAATGAAATTTATTATCGTGTGTCAAGCAAGCACGTTTGAACTTTATTAAACTGTCCGATACATATGGATTACTTCTGCGATGTCTTTAGAAACTTTTTGAACTATCACAGTTATGGTGGAATGAACTTTCTGTGGAGGGACAGAAATCTATTAGTCTTCATTAAAATGTCCTAATTTGTGTGTTTGATGATGAACGAAAGTGTTATGGGTTTGGATGACATGAGGATGAGTAAATGATGACCGAATTTTTATTTCGGGGTGACGGACCCTTTGTGTTTACACTCAGGTGGTGATGTGAACTAATGGTTAAAAATCTGCAGGTTTGCATGGGGTGATACATAAACTTTCATTATTGTGCTGTTGGTTGCTCCAGGGCGACTGTCTCTCTGAAGTTGCTTTGGATTAATTTGTTGTATCACTTGGCATCCTTCAGGCCTCTGTATGTGACCGTGGTTTATCAAGGCAAGTACTCTCACTGCATGAGGATCGGTGTGGCCGTACCGCTTAACAGCACTGTGTCCAGACTGAGAGAGGCCGTGTCACGTGAGACCAAGATCCCACAGGACCAGGTGCAGTTTCCACTTTTATTTTTGGCCAAAATAAAATGTTATTTTGCATGGAATTCCGGTCTTGGTGTAAAGATCTTTACTGTTTCCCTGAATACAATATTCTCCATTAATACTGAGGTGTGGACACGGATGGAGGGTTGATTGCCGTTTGTATGTTCGTCTTCCCACATAACGTCATCAACCAAAGCCGTTTCCTGTTTGTTTGCCTTGTTTTACCGAGATGTTGGGTGTAAACCACTTCTGACCATCCGTCTCTCTTATGTCTGTGCAGTTTGTCCTGACTGAAATGTATTACGACGGTTTCCACCGCTCCTTTTGTGACGATGACGACGATCTTGATATCATTCAAGAAAGTGACTCAATCTTTGCTTTTGAAACTCCTGAGACTTTTAGATTAGAAAACATTCGCTCTAAAAGAGGTACTCTTTCATGCATTGCACTTTGGTTATAGCTCAAAGTATACATCAGTTTTGACGCGAACGCTTAGCGTACAGCAAAACACGCTTGCTTTCATAGTACTCTCCATTTGATAGCATACGCAAACACAGGTGGTTAACTCGTGCGCTAGAAAGTTTTAGTTTTGTCCAGTGTTGGTCTGTGCCATTTCTCTCCAGAATTTGACCAATAAAAATGTCTTTGTACTTGTTTAAACTAGAGTTGCAGGTATCTCTTTACTTGCTCATCTAGGTGGGCGTCTATTCTTGTCACCATCTCCAGTAGTCAGTTGTTTCTTTTTCAACTGTGAAACAATGGGGAGGGCCAGTGTTGCCCCCTTTTGGACCAACTCAAGGCACATGTGCAAGCTGAGCGTACAGAGTATGTGTGGTTAGAAAAGTCGAGCTGTGCTGATGACAGTATTTACGCAACTGTATGCAAACCCTAGCATACACGTAAAAACCGAAGTATACTTTGGGCTTAAGAAAAACTGAATGTGTATCAAATAATCCTAATTATAAGCAGTGTTGGGCAGTAACGCCTTACTTAGTAATGCGTTACTGTAATTTGATTACTTTTTTAGTAACGGAGTAATTTAACGCGTTATAATTTTCAAAATAGTAATTAGAGTATAGTTACAAGCCGAGGTCTCTATACGTTACTGCCGCGTTACATTGCTGACATAATGCAATGTTTTATAATCTGGAGATTTAAAAAGGATGTAGCACACGCACTGACGAGTCAAGTGCCAGTGGATTAGAGAACTGCTCCCGCAAGACACGACGCAGGATGCGCGGGATGCGGGAGAATAAAATGATTCACGGGACTCCCACAAAATAGAAATATCTAATTACATTTTCAGAGTAACTTGCCCAACACTGATTATAAGCAATCAGCATTTATTGAAACATGAAAATATCATATTGGAAATTGAGCTAAAGGCAGTGCTTTGTCTTTGAAAACATAGAAACTATATCTAGCTTAGATTAGGATCATCATAAAAGTAGACTGGAGAGTATGAAAGTAATTATCTTGATACTATTTCTAACTTTTTTGTTGTTGTTTTTAGTGATGCAAGTAACATTTTTAACCATTTCCAGGGAGCCTTCTTGCTAATCTGAATCAGAACAATTTGAAATATGGAGCGGAGAGCAGCCGAACGCCATCTTTCATGCAGGGTGCGATGAATCCAGCATCTCCCAACAAAAACACTGGATGTGAGAAAATGATTCTGCTGATCTGTAACAGAGCCTGCACTGGCCATCAAGGACGGAGGTAAAATTATTGTCTTTCCGACATGCTCACACGAGTCGAAGTTCCATTATTTTTGACACAATATCTTACAGTACATGGAGAAAATGTAGTAATCTCATTATACACAATATAATGCACAAACTGGAAAATCAATACAGCACTGTCTGTTTGTTGCAGGTTCGGTCTTCCGTTTGTACTATATCTAGAGCGCTCTGTGACATGGGATGTGTTACAGAAAGAAATTCTGGAGAAAATGCGTCACCTACTAAGGCCAGGGGTTTACATTCAGGTCAGTGAAACCTCTACTTGTTGTTAAATACAGGTCTTGAAATGCAAAGTCAGTACAATTAAATGACTTTTTTTCTTACATAAAACTTGCACTTCTGATAAAGTGGATTGGTGATTTTAGGTTGGACCCTTTAGTCTGCGTGTGGTTGGAGTAGTTGGAATCACATATCTGTTGCCACAGGAGGAACAGCCGCTATGTCACCCCACTGTGGAAAGGTTTGTAATGCATAACCATGTGTTCAGAGCATATTGTGTGAACTTAAATTTCAGGTGTGACATGTATATTGTTCTACTATTAGTGCACATAGACAGTTCTTCCACAGGCAAGCAAATAGTCAATACTTTTATTACAACAGCATTTTTAACTACACAAACCAAAAACATTTTATGTTACGCTAGATGAATTAATGATTGTAGTTGAAAAGTTTATTATAACTGCTTTAGTGTGATCGTTGAATTTAACACGTGTAATAAAACAAAATACTACAAAGCTTGATTCTTCAATTTGTTATTTTCTTGGCCAACATCATGCCTTTCCTCAATCTTTCCTTTTTAGAGCATATAAATCCTGTGGGCCAGGTGGACCTCCTCATGTTAAGATTGTAGTGGAGTGGGACAAAGAGACCAAGGAATAGTAAGTAAAATGGAGCCATAATTAATAACTTGTCTATAGTGTTTTATTTTTTCTTATAGTGGCCCCAAAATAATATTTAGACAATTAAATCACACTTAAAAATTGTTGAACATCATTGCATTAGATCAGGGCTTCCCAAACTGGGATTTGAAAACCCCTGGGAGTTCGCGAGGGAACTACAGGGAGTTCATGAGTTGATGAAAAGTTAATAATTAAATCATTAAATGAAATAATTAAATGAAAATTAAAACAGATACATTTTAAAAAACATACTTATTTAAAAAGATTTTAAAAATATTTTATTTGTTTCCCTTGCATGTCATGTGACTATTAACCATGAACATGCAAGTGTATTGTTAAATTATTGAAATATTATATTTAAATCTCAGGGAGTACTTCAAATAAATATTTTAGGTCAAATATTAGATGCCACTTGGTTTATTTATTTGTTTGTTTGTCTAATGCATGGAAACTTTATACTGCTGTACACTTCCTGTTGGTAGTTTGTGGTAAGACCAATTCCACAGGGGCTAAAAATTTCAGAGCAAGACATTTCAGTGAAGCCAGAAAGGAAGGGTCATTTCAAACATTTTTTGAAGTTCGACACTGTAAGTGTCAAAGGAGTTTCTTGACCACATGTGTGCATGTATTAAACATTCTCTGGCAGACTGTTAGAGAAAATATCCTGCAGAGATGAAATAAATATGTCTGTTGAAGTCACAGAGAGGATCGCAGACATGCTTGACTGGTCTGGTAAGAGAGATTTGTTTCCAGCGTATGTTCTGATTCCCGCAGTTTGTTTGGACACACTGAGGAAGAGTACATCCCTGATGCTGAGAGTGTGTATCTGCACAGAGAGCAGCACCATCAGCCGCAGGCCTGCACCCTCGCTCAGTGCTTCCAGCTCTACACCAAAGAGGAGCAGGTAAAAGTCTGGCATAATACATGTTCAAGTTTTACCTTCGCAAAGGATCCATTTACCCAAAAATGAAAACTCTTGTCATGTAGTCACTATCATGTCTTTCCAAACCTGTTTGACTTACTTTCAAAGGGAGACATTTCAAAACTAAGCCATACAATGAAAATGAAAAAAAGTCCATGGCTGTCAAACAAGAGTTTTATTGAATAATGACTTAAATTTCTGTCCCTTCCTCACACAAGAGGTGATGTATGATGTTTTAATGTCATTTTTGGAGCTTGACAGCTCTCATCCACTTTCTTTGTATGGAAAAGAGCAGCTCAGACATTCTCCTTCTGTGTTCATGGAAGAAAGTCATACAGGTTTTGAATGACATGAGAGTGAGGAATGAAGACAGACTTTTGATTTGTTACGTGAACTATTCCTTTAAAAGAGCCCTCACGCTCCTTTAATTTCTTTAATTTCCACTTCTCCAGAGCTGCCTTTGTGGGTGTATATGTCAATGTTACTCTATTTCTGCTGTCAGTGCTGTTTTAAAATTGCTATTTTTTTTGCGAACACATCTTTAACCCTGGAACGGGTCCACATATCGTTTAAATATACACTGTGGTTAGCCAGAGCCGGCCTTGGGCAGCTAAGGAAGGGTTTGGAACTGGCTGTGCTTTAAGGAAAATGAAGGAACAGCCAGATTTGTAAATGTAAAACCTCTCTGACTGATTTTGTTTATGTCTGCTTCCTGTATGCCTTCCAGTTGGCCCCAGATGATGCTTGGCGCTGCCCCCATTGCAGGCAACTGCAACAGGGGCGGATCAAACTCAGCCTGTGGACCCTGCCGGATGTTCTCATACTGCACCTCAAGAGGTTTAGACAGGTGCTGTATTGATCAAATCACATTCCTTGCACAAATGGTGCTCTCTGCATGCATATGTGTGATGGGGCCTGTTTACACCTGGTCACTTTGTGCGTTTTCTCTGATCGGATAACTATCCAATCGTGAAAAGACCAGGTGTAAATGCCATCCAAAATGCTTTCAAGACAGATTTAAATCCGATCGCTCAAACCACTTCAGGAGGTGGTCTGGGACACATTCCAGACGAAACTAGACAAGTGTAAATGCATCTGGTTGCTGAAATCACATATGTAAATTTTAATCCTCCCAAAATGTTAAAATAATAAACGTGTGAGAGCTTTATAGGCTATATGACGTGTTACAGTCAGATATGACAGTGCTAATACAACATGCATCACCGTGGATGAGTAGCTGAGTATCTCTTCAGCAAGCTGATGCGTAAACTGCTGCAAATAAAACTGAAATTAAGTCACAGACGCTCAACACACAATCATCTTCATTAAAAGTAGTTAGACAAACTTATCTTTCCAGTGCTGATGCCACTCTTCTTTTGCGGTCTTTCGTCTAGAAATTATCTGATAATTAATAAATCTATTAATTAATTAATTAATTAATAAATAAATAATGTGTGTTAGCATTCCAGTTCACTATCTTTGGATAAAAGTGCGTAATGTGTGTAAATGGCTTACTAATGTGTGGACCTTGTGTCTTCAAGGAAGGGGACAGGAGGGTAAAGATGCAAAACATGGTGCGATTTCCTTTGATTGGCATGGATATGGCGCCTCATGTTTGCGGTCTTTCGTCTAGAAATTATCTGATAATTAATAAATCTATTTATTAATTAATTAATTAATAAATAATGTGTGTTAGCATTCCAGTTCACTATCTTTGGATAAAAGTGCGTAATGTGTGTAAATGGCTTACTAATGTGTGGACCTTGTGTCTTCAAGGAAGGGGACAGGAGGGTAAAGATGCAAAACATGGTGCGATTTCCTTTGATTGGCATGGATATGGCGCCTCATGTGGTGAAGAGAAGCCAGAGCAGCTGGAGCTTACCCTCCCACTGGTCCCCATGGAGGCGACCTTACGGACTTGGCCGTAACCCAGATGACTACCTTTATGACCTCTATGCTGTGTGTAACCATCATGGCAACATGCACGGAGGGCATTACACTGGTAATGCACTAAGAACTTAAGTGCTTGGATTTACGTCAAAATGTCATTGTATTACCTTCTTGACTGGTGGATTTGATATTTCAGTGTCTGTCTTTTAACTCTTAACAGCGTACTGTAAGAACTCCATTGATGGGCAGTGGTATTGCTTTGATGACAGTGAGGTTCAGCCTGTAGCTGATGAGGATGTCTGTCAGCAAACCGCATACATTCTGTTCTATCAAAGGAGGACAACTATTCCCTCGTGGTCTGCAAACAGCTCTGTCGCAGGTGACTCTTGTTCCTTATTGAGTTTTGGGTTGACACAGTTTGCTGACTCATTTATCTTGTTCATTTAGAAGGCTTGTGAAGGTGCTGGCATGTGAACCAAGTGACCCTCTTTTTCCAGCCCGATGAAATTAGTATGACACTCTTTGATGAGATTTTTAGTAGAGCTTGATTCCATTTCGGAGATATAGAAAATAAAAGAATTAAAAGAGTTTGATGTACTGTCTAGACATATCTAGCATTGAGGGGCCTCTGGCCCCTTAAATTAGTCATTTAAAATCATCACAATATTGACATCAGTGTCATGAGCACATTACAGAAACAGTTCGCCAAACAATGAACATTTCTCACTTTCTTTCTACACTGAGCAACCAAAAAAAAAGAATTATTATAAATTACTCTTAGGGTGCTTTTATGATTTTTTTTTTTTATAACAGTACTGCTGTTTTATGGGCCTAATTTTAATTGAATTCCCCTCCACCCCAAACCAGTTAAGACACCACCCTGCAGCCAGTTCTAAAGATTTCAGTGGTCATGTCAATCACAGTACTGATTACCAATGTAACAAACTAACCTAAATCTAAACCTTAGTATAACTTTTTTAGCACATGCTGTTAGGTAGCACTATGGTTTTTTGTGATCACATCCCTCCATGATTTTCTGAACTGAATCCATAAAGTCTAAACTTAACTTCACAGGGTATTGTGTGATGTAGTTGACCAATGAAATCAGCTGTTGGGCGTAGTTTGTAGGGGTGTAAATCGGATGGTTCATCTCAAAATTATATGACATCGATTCTCATAGCCAGCAAAACGATATTTGCCAATACCTAAAAAATTGTACCATATGATTACGATACGATTCGATTTGTTTGGGGAACAAAAAGTCATGCGTTGTATGGCAGTAACTGTCATAGGACCAACAGCTTTTACATATCAACATCTGTCTTAGTATTCAACAACCCTGATGATCAGCAGTGGTTAGTCTACAAGTCTAAAAGATCAGCATATGAAGAGTACTGTATCAAAACAGCCCAATTAATTCTAAGGGTCAGAGAGTGGACAGAAAATGGAATGTTTTTTTTTGTGAAAAATGCTCTTCTACAACAATGCAGAACATGGCCCTGTAAATGAAGATCCTTGTTTTTGGATTTGTGTAACTCTTTTAGGCTCCACCAGCTCATCTTTATGTGAACACTGGGTTAACCGGCTTCCGGGCAGCAGGCCGCCCAGCCTGGCCTCCGGAGCCTCCTCGAGACGCACATCTCTGATCTCTTTGGCAGAGTCAGTGGAGTTTCCCGGTGATCGTAGTGAAGATGATGGTGAGGAGCTTCGTTATGCCTCTAACATGGGTGTTCATCTTTCTGGTGTCTTTAACATGTAAATCTTTAGGAGCTGAGTAGTACCGTATTTTGCCCTCATCTGCCTTGTGTCCTCGTATTCTGTGTATTGTGCCAGTGTTTTACTCTTGCCTTTCTTTATTATGTCTTCTCTCTCTTGTAGCTTTAGCGCTTACTAACACAGGATCTCCCGCCTTGCTCAGTTAAGACAAAACTGCATGCCAATGCTCTTTTCATTCAGTCTGGAATCAGCGCATTAGTTTAAATCTCTCTGTTCTTTTTGTTAAGGAGGATTCTCAACGCGGCCCTTCGTGAGGAGCATCCAGCGGCAGAGCTTGTCCTCTAGATCGTCGGTTACCAGCCCTCTGGCTTTCAGTGAAAACGGGACGAAACCTTCCTGGTCTCTGTCACAGAAACTACAAATGAGATCCAACTCACCCTCGCGATTCTCTTTGGACTCACGCTCCTCCCCTCCTCTCGAGAGAATAGGTGAAGCTTGTGACGACAAAGTGTCCACGTCTTGCTTCGGCGGCTACAGCAGACATGAGCGTCAGCCCAGCAGTAAGGCCCCACTGGCCATGATGGAGGGTAATGGCAGTGATGACGGCAGTGGGAAGCGGATCCTAGACGAGGCCTATTGCAGAGCTCCGACACAGTCCGATAGGAAGAGCTCTAAAGGTGAGCCCGTCGACAACAACAACCAGATTAATGCTGTGGACCAGAATGCTCTCGGAACGCTCGCCAAAGAGCAGAAGCATAAGAGCTCCGGGTCGGAGAAGAAAGCAGATGAGAAGAGCTCCAGCAAGAAGAGCTCCACCAAAACCAAGGGGGACCAAGAGAAGTCCTCCAAGAAGCGCCAGAGCACCTGTTCTGTCACCAAGTCTCCATCCTCCCAAGTGTCTTCCAGCCCTCAAGCGAAGGGCACCAAAGCCACCAATCTAAAAGAGAAGAGCGATTCTCCCAAGAGTACCAAGGGTACACCTTCAGGAACGCCCTCCAGAAGGAAAAAAGAGTCTTTACAGGCAAAGGAGTCTCCAGTGTCTGTTGGCACAAAGGGGAAGCCGTCCCTTACTTCCACACCCCAATCCTCTGCCTCTCCCTCACCCACATCCAAAAAGAGCTCCTCGGTGGCTGAGAGGAACTCTGTGTCTGGCAAGAAGAAGCTGGTGGAGAGAGGCTCCAGCAAGGACTTGGCGCACACCAGTCCCCTGGCAGAGAAGTCTAGAGTCAGTGCCACCCCGCGAACATCCCAACCTAAAACTGCCGAGGCGAGCCGGCCAGAAAGAAGGCCGGTGAAAACCTCTAGCAGTAGCTCCTCAGTCACCAGCCTGCGCTCCCCAAGCGTCTCCTTGAGAGACCTCCGCCGCAGCAGCAAATCCGAGGACAAGGGACTCTCGTTCTTCAAGAGCGCGCTTCGGCAGAAAGAGACTCGGCGTTCGGCCGATCTGGGTAAGACCACGATTCTCGCCAAGAAGGCTGTCGAGAGGACTGCCAAGTCCAGCAGCCAGTGCAGACTCGATGCTGACGAGGGCGAAGGCTCGGGAAACTCTTCCCAGCAGGTCTCTCCGGAGCCGCGCTCCTGCAAGGCTGCCGCCAATGAGAAAGAGTCCTCGAAGACCTCCACCCCCAACAAATGCTCTCTCTTACCAGTAGGCAAGTCCAAGTCTTCCAATTCTGAGACTAGCTTTCAGTCTCCCATCAATGGGAAGAGGCATCTTGAAAAGATCTCATCCTCTAAAAAGCTTTCTTCCAGCATGCAATCCTCTGCACGGCCAACACCGACGCCTCAATGACATTTTAATAGCAGTTCCATTATTTTCTGTAATGCAGCTATTTTTTGATGTGCCTAAGAAGAATATAAAGTATATAGTATATACCTGTATTTTACTTTTCTCAAAGAAAATATGTAAATTATCAGAAAGCGCCTTTCTATCCTGCCATGGAACCAAATCGTTTTCTCTGGCAAGGTATGGTATATGAATCTACTACTGTTCACAACTCTGAATAGGAATGTTTTAACTTAGCACTTTGTATATATTTTTTCTCCCTCGAATAATGCTTAGATGTAATGGATACTATGTACAATACTTTTTAACTTGGTACCGTTCCTTTCTATTTGGACAAGTCACTTATGATTAAATTAGATACTTGCGATATTCCTTGGAGTACTGTACCAATTCACTCCACATCTACACTTGGTGCTATTTACAGTCCAATTTTCCCCTGGCACTGATACAGCATGAGATTGAGAAGAGTTACATCACGAAACCTGGCCGAATTTGCGACTGAAGACTTAATGGGGTTCGGCAGAGTCAGAACAATCTCTTTGGTACCTCTCAAAGCCTGCTCTCCTACCCCAACTTTTTTCTTTTGTACTCGAGAGCAGTTACAAGTGTTCCAGTAGCATTACTGCCCTTAGAAATATGCGCAACAATGCCAACTACAGGCCGATAGCTGAATTGTTGCTGTATGATTGTGATCTTTCGAATGGTAAATTAGTGGAGGACAATCTTTAAACTAACAATATTTAGTTTATTCCAGCAAAACGCTGTGTGAGCTACTTATCTGGATATTAATGGAGGCAGTGTAAGCCCTGCATGAATTCGTTTTGTATATCTTTGTTTTTACAATGAAAGTTTAAAAGCCACATAATCATACTCGAACCATTTCATGCCCGCCAAGTCCAATGCCAACTTATATGAGTGGTTTTCATTTGGCTTGCTCCGAGCTGGGGTTAAACCCCTGCGCAGCGGTTTTTATCTCCCATATTTATATCTGGACAACCAGTGCAATAGTTTTCAACACTCTGTAGGAGAACAGATATATGAACTTCTGTATCTGAGAAACATGTTGAACTTAATGTTATTGTTTTAGAAACAAATTATTTTAAATATCAATACTGTGTGCATATGCAATAGTGATAAAACCATTTAATCAGTGTAAATCGAAATTTATTTTCAGGACTGTAATAGCTGACCACAATAATTGGTTTCATTTTTTTTTGTGCCAAGACTTTGTGATTTAATATCCAATTGAAATGGCTCTGCAGAAAGGCCTTTATTTTGCATACTTGTCAACACTATTGACTTCACCTAAATATATTTTCTTCTCGATTTTGCTCAGACAAGTTAATTTGGACTAATTCAAAATGTTATGTATGACAGGAGAAATGTAAGGTTAAGCAAGTCATTATTGTTACATTTGCATAATAGTGTCATTACGTCGGCCGCTGTTCAGCTTGCTGCCCTGTAATTAAAACATTAATCCAAGCGCTGCTGACACCACTGTTGAACCGTTCTCATTTTCATGCTGAAACCCATCTCTTTCAGCACACTTTATCTTAAAATAGATAATTCAGCAATGAACCTAATGTGTAGCACGCTTCTTATTTTTTGCGACAGGCCCATATTGTGTGTGCACTGAAAAAGTATTTGTAAAAAGCATTATTGCATGATTACATTAACGCATGCACTTAACTATGCAAGTAACTGTTGCTAATAAGATGAGTCTGGTTATTAATGTCAGAATTTTTTTTTTAAAAGAAAACAGCATAAATTGTTTCCATTTTCTTGCTTTTTTGCACACTTGTCCAACTTTTAGTTTTTTAAATATTGTGATATGAGAACATAAATTATTAGCTTTAATCATATGTATTCCAGAAGTAGCAATTGGCATTGTATTTTCCTATATTTTTTATTATTAAAACTATTATTTTAATTTATAAGCTGTTCTTTAGCGTAAGACCTCCCTGTTTCCATGTGATAAATTTAGTTTTTATATTTTTATAGTCACAGCCTGTTTTGGTTTTTCACATTTCGCTGGCGTGATGTGGTCTGCTCATGCTTTCACATGTAGTATGTAGGGAATGTTGTATATTATATCAGCTATGTAACTTTATCGTCAGCATTCAATCAGTGCACACAAGTCCCGCATCGCTTGCAGTGCTGATACACTAAGCACTGCATCATGTTTTAAGTTGTGAAGTTCTCGGACCATGAATTCAGAGAAGTGCTATTACCCTCTCTATAGTCTTACTGCATATGGGATGTTTTCAATGGCTCAAGTGCTAATATGACATGGTCTTATCAAGTGTTTGGATAGGACAGATGATTTTATCATTATAACAAAGCCGCATCAGTCTTATGGTATAATATGCGTGCTCTTGGTTTACACACTGGACTTGAATGATTTCTCTTGGCCCAGAGCAGTTTTCATGTATTGTTCATGAGCTGGTACCCTCTCTGGTGGGCTAATAACTGGGCTGTCATTTTATTATATGAACAACAGTATAGGTCAACCAAACGAGGAAAATAATATTTGGTTAAAAAAAGAGAAAACCATGTAAACGTTTGGTTGCATGAGACTGCGTCAAATGCTTTTTGTTAATTTATTTGTATGTTTTATGTGTATGCACTTTTTTATTTTGAATGATTGTTTTTTTTATTATTATTTTAAAGAATGCATTTCTTTGAAGAATCATTTGTATTCATAACATTGTTTCCCCAATGTAAGTTGGCGGTTGAATTATGATTAAAAAATAGACCTGCATTAGAGGTCCAACCTCAAATTTGTCCTCGAAATAATTACTTTGATTCATTTTATTTGCTTAGCTTGGGTTTGAACTTTTCTTTGCAGCAAGCAGTGTAATATCCAATGTTGACCACAAGATGGGGCTTTCCACCATGCTTTTAAAAATATGCAGCGATACAGAAGATTTTCTGTTAGGGAAAAACAGGCAATTCTAGACCCCTTTTGGAGGACTTCTGGCCCTTGGCAATTAACTAAATGTCTTTTATAAATGAAGGTGCTCATACTGAAAGTGAGTACCAATGGAATCATTGTAGTTTGAGTGAGAGAATCATGTAAACAGTCATGTCTTCAAAGGGTAATCCACTCAAAAATGAAAATTCTGTCATAAGTTTCTTGCCTCCATGTCATTCCAAACCTGTATGAAATATTTCATTTATCTGTAGAACACAAAAGAAGATATTTTGAAGAATGTTGGTAACCAAACAGTTTTGGTTCCCGTTGACTTCCATTGTATTTTTGTCAGTAGGAACCAAAACTGTTTAGTTTCAGAAAAATAAAAGTCATACAGGTTTGTAAGTTAATGACAGAATTGACATTTTTGGGTGAACTATCCCTTTAAGTGAATGTAAACAATGTTTTTAATTTTTCACATGGCAGGTGCATGTTCACATTTGTAATCTCTCTGTCTGAGAAAAGCTCATGCTGTTCTGTGTGATTGCTTGAATAGCAGCCAAAATGGGGTTTTTTTTTCATTGCAGAGAAAGCAAGGCTATTATTTCATTTGAGGCCTCAATATAGGGTACACTTCAACCTGAGCAAACATTTTTTGAGGGCTTATCCCTCCCTCGGCATCCCAAGCCTCCAGGGACAACTACGATATTTATTGTTTGCTTTTAGCTTAACTTCACTCAGTGCTGAATGCTGTCTCTAAGCAAACTTCGTCGGCAAGGTGTTCAGAAGCACCGGCAGACCTAATACATTACCATGTGCAGCATTTCAAACGCCTTTCTCTCTTTTCCCGTCTTTTTTGTTTGCTTTTTTTTTTTAAATACAGCATCTCCCTTTTTCCCCTCTTCATTACAGATTCTGACAGCCATTTGTGTTCGTGAACAGCCCAGTTCTTCGGAGTGCTGTTATCATTAGCAGCTATTTTTGAGGACTAGCAAGTGCCCTGGGTGTTGAGTGCAAATGCATTGCTGAATATTTAACATCTGCGATATTCATTTACAGTCTAGAAAGAGGCTCACCTAAAGTGCTCTTTGCACCGTTTAATCCATAGATGATTTCAGATTGGAGGAACCTCATTAATAATATTTCTGTCTTTGTGGCATTTTATGTTTTGCCATTAAGTTAATAGCTTTTTTGTTAATTGTTAGTTTGAGATTTGGAATCTCCTACCTAGCTTTAAAAATCTGTGACTATTGGCTGCATCTATAAACCTAGCAAGCTGTTTAGCAGCACAGCATTTTTAGACAATATTGGTACAATCAAACATCCAATACTCTAGACATACAGTAGACTGGGCCCACAGATCATTTCTTTTTCTTTTTTTTTTAATAATAAGAGTGTTATTTCCGGTGTTATTAGAAAATTCATCATAATTTAAAGGGGACATATGATGCTGCTAAAAAGAACATTATTTTGTGTATTTGGTGTAATGAAATGTGTTTATGCGGTTTAAAGTAAAAAAAACATTATTTTCCAATCATGTTTGGAACAGGAACTTCTTAGCTGTACTAAAATATCTATGATCTGTATTTATGCTTTCATATGAACAAGATGTGACTTGAGCCACAGTGCAAAATGGGTCTACCGGCACAGTGTCTAGGAAACTTTTCATTAAAAAAAAAAATAAAATTACAAAATTGTATTTTATATATGTCGTATACATTCATAAAGATGTATATTATTTGATATATCTTTGCTAATGGGCACTTAATCATATTTTTTAAGCAACTATATATAGTTTTGCCTAATTTTGTGTTTTTAGAGCCCCCTACAGGTAAGAGAAATTCACTGTCATAAATATATCACTGTCATGATTACAGTGGACCGCTGCACGTGTGTTTGTTGCTGCCGTAAAGCAGTTCGCCTTTTGGCGGGATTTCGTACCCACTCACCGAACTTACATACTCCCAGAACAGACATTTGGGGTGGAGTCAAGTCAAGTCAAGTCACCTTTATTTATATAGCGTTTTTAACAATACAGATTGTGTCAAAGCAACTGAACAGCATTAATTAGGAAAATAGTGTGTCAATAATGCAAAATGACAATAGTAAACACTCATTTTTCAGTTAAAGACAGTTCATCATTGAATTCAGTGATGTCATCATCCAGCTCAGTTCAGTTTAAATAGTATCTTTGCAATCATTTGCAATCAAGTCAACGATATCGCTGGAAATGAAGTGTCCCCAACTAATCAAGTCAGAGGCGACAGCATCAAGGAACCAAAACTCCATCGGTGACAGAATGGAGAAAAAACCTTGGGAGAAACCAGGCTCAGTCGGGGGGCCAGTTCTCCTCTGACCAGACCGCGGAGGGGAGCGAAGCGGTTCCGGGTGGAGATCTCAAAGACCGAAGAGTGTGGGAAAGAAACCGATGCCATTTGCCTCGTTAGAAATCGGTGTAACATCAGAACTGATACCTCAAGGTAAAAAGAAAAGAAAGAAAGAAAGAAAAACAACTTGCAGTTGCTTTACAAAATTACCCATACTAAAATTAACCATGGTTTTACTACAAATAAAACCAAAAAACCATGGTAACCACAAATTAGCCATGATTATGCTATACTAACCATAGTATTTATAGTAAAACTGTGGTTATACAAATGGTAGTCAATACGCCAAAAACCATGGTTAGGCCTACTACACTTTGACTGCAGTAAAACCATGGTTATTTTTTCACAAGGGTATTTAATCAGAATACAGCTACTTTTTTTTTCTACAATCAGTTGAAAAAGTTACTTTTTGCCCAGATGGTGTAGTTACAACATCTACCAGCAGGAGCTAATGTGGAGCTTCCAACAAAGCTTTTCCAGCTAAGCCTTCACCACTCATACCAGGTAGGCATCTCACAACATTTGAGTCCACTGCATCACTACGAATCTCACCCAGCTGTTTATGATCACAGTTTAATACTGTCTCCTCACTCACTGCCCCGGGCATCTACCCCTCCCCTGCTCGATCTGCAGTCTGATCAGTGCTCCAAAGTCTTTACAGGCCAGATGAAGACTGTGTTCATCGCCATTCAGCCCGATTGTGTTGGCTAATTATGACAGTTAGTAGTGGGGATTGTGAGAGTCATTCACAGGCCATTAGAGCTCAGCCCGCGAGGTGATATCATCTGTCACTTCCTCTACTCCCCTGCAGCGCTGCTGTCTGTGGTATCAGTCCGCATCCCACAAGCCCTGAAACAGGAAGCCTTAAACCTGCCTCGTAAGCCTTGTGCATTAGTTCCTTTCCTTCCTTTGTGAGGTGAGTACGCGCTTACCTGACTGTTGGTTTAATTGCACATTTAACATGATCAGGATATCTGTAGCCAGATGTGAGATGTAGGGAACAAACCTTTCAAAAAGCTCCTAAATGTTCCCAACTGTTTCACATCTAACCTCAGTGGAGGCAGTGAAAATAAACGACCGTCAAATTATGCTTATTTACCTTTAAGATGCAAATTTTTTTAAAATGCATTTTACGCCGCACCTCTAGTCAAGGGCAGAGGGACGATGAAATGATGAAAAATGTGTTGAATACCGATCATCAGAGGCCCCTTTGTGCACACGCTGACCTCTAACTGCAACTGCGCTAAGAAAGATAATGCATTGGTCTCATCAGAGGAACAGGAAAACTGAAAATTGTTTCAATATGACCAACAATAATAGCTATTAAATTTTCTGGAGAACCATGGATAAAG